TCACCTGCCCCCAGGGTGGAGCTGCCTGTGGCCTTGCACCTCCCCTCCCCAGAGGCCGGTGCCTGCCTCCCAGTCCTCCTGGATGGGGCAGGGGTTACCGTCTCCTGTTCGCCAAGCTTCTCCTGCAGCTCCTTTCCTTCCTGCTCCAAATGTAGTGCGCTCCTGTTCTCGTTCTTCTGGACAGAGAGAAGCAATCAGCGGCCACCCACTGCAGCTGGAGACCCCAGAACTTGGTGTCTGCCTCCCATGGCACCGGGAAGGGTGGAGGCAGGTTAGACAAATTGTCTCCTTTCTCCCACAGCCATCAGAGCAGGGCTGTACTCACAGGTGCCTTTAGAAGCCTCATTTCATACACTCCCCCATTTTACAGGTGGGAAAACAAAGTTCCGGAGGACTGGGGAGGAGAGCAGGGTCCCCAGGTGGGCAACACACCAGCTCCTCCTCCTGCTCCTGGAGCCCCTCCTGCTCAAGAAGCCTCTCCTCCTGTTCTCTCAGCCTCACCTCCTGCTCCCGGAGCCGCATTTTCGCCTCCTGCAGTCTCTCCTGTTCCCGCAGCTCATCTCTCAGGTACTTGGTTTCAGTTTTTAGGTTCTTCTCCAAGTCAGAGTGCCCTGCTGGGTGCTTCAGGATTGGGGGTTCAGCTGAGAAAGGAAGCAGACAATAAGGGCCTCTGGATTCTCAAAACAAAAAACTCTTCTTGGTGCACAGCTCCTCTCAGGCTCCCCAAACCTGGCCTCACTGCTAATGATTCCTCGCACCCAAATGGTAGCCAGTCTTCCAAGCCACTTTCACATAGAGAGCACTGTGGGTGGCTGGCAACGGGCATTCCTCCCTCTGCTGATGGGGACACTGAGGCTCATGGAGATTACAAGACTTGCTGTCTCCTGGCACAGACCTCTTTCCCTCTGCCTCAAAGCCCTTCCAGCCACCCACCTCCCTGGGGCACTCTGAGCCACCCCCACAGCCCTCTGATGACAGTCCTGCTCTCTGGTCATGCCAGCCTCATCTTACCCAGATGGTTTTGTAGGTGGGCAAGGCTCCCCTTCAGCTTCTCAATTTTAATTGCGTCCTGTCTTTTCTCCATTTTGAATATTTCAATCTGCCCAAAGCACAGGGGGAAAGGGCTCTGGAGAGAGGGGCTGGTGGCTGGACAGGCTACCATCTCCCTCTCCGCCCCCAGCTCCACAAAGCCCAGTCCCGTGACCACCCCTGGCTGGACTATTCTCATTTTACAGATGCCCAGGAAGATCCAGTGAGCCATCTAAGGTGGGGAGCTGAAGGGTCAGCTCTCACTTCTCCTGCCATTTTCAGCAATTCCTGCTGCCACTGCGCCCTCTCTGTTTTGAGCTCTTGAGCGTAGGCGTCTCTTTCTAGCTGAGCTTTCTTAAGAGACTCCGTCACCTGTAAGAATGGACCCAGAAGTTAGGAAGGGCTGTCACTGGTCCTCACCTGCTCCTGGCCACCTGGGGACATCTTCCTTCCACATCCCTCCCTCTGCAAAGTCTCACCTCTGCCACCTGTGCTTTTAGCAGTTCCCGCTCCTGTAGAAACTGCTGTAAATGCTGCTCAAGGACTGCTCCACAGCGGCTCGAGGGCTGGAGGGTGGAGAGGGAGAAGCTTCAATCTGGAGAGCCTGGGCCATTCCACACAGTGCCCCTTAAAAGGGCTAGGGCTGGGCTTAATGCACAACTCAGACAGTAAAGATCAAGGCATTTCCAATCCTGTAGTCTGGATTTTAAAAGAACTCAGTAAAGTTGGAAGGCACAGGGAAAGAGGTCACATTTACGGCTGGCTAACAGAGGCCCAGAGAGATCAGATCATATTCTATGTTATTCCTGTTACTACTACCGCTGTTGAAACCTTTATTGAGTGCGTCACCAGGTAGTGTGCTAACAATCCCATTTAACCTCACAGCCACGATGTGAGGCAGTTACTACCATTACCTCTAGTGTGTAGATAGAAAACATGGAGTATTAGAGGTTAGGTGGCTGCCTAAGATCACTTAGACAGAGCTGGGATTTGAACACCCAGGCCCATGGGATCCTCTAAGTCCATTTTTTTTCCTGCTGGGGGTGGGAGCACAGGGAGGAAGGAAGAAATGAATTTTTTCTTCACTTTTTGAAAAAATGATACATTCTCATAGTCCAAAACTGAGAAGGTACAGAAGGGAAGTATCTCTCAGCCACCTGTGCTCTCTCCTGAGTTTTTTACAAATCCTTGCAGACATGTTTTATGTATATTATCACAGTACACACACACACACACACACACACAGACACATTTCCTCTCTCTACACAAATGGTGACATACTAAAACTACTCTTCTGAACCTTCAGAGTCCAAGTACCCAGTCCCCCACCTAGGACTTGGCCATGGCCACAGCCAAGTAATGGCAGGGAGGGAATTTGGCCTCTGAGCTCTGCGTCCAGTGCTGGCTCCCCATAGCACCCTTCAACTCACCCACAGCAGCCCCAAGGGGAAACTGGAGCCCAGGATTGGCAGCGTGGAATCAGGGGGCCCCACTGGACTCTTACCAATAAGTCAATGGTGTTATTCAGTTCGCTGGTTGTGACGGAGCTCGAGTCCAGGGCTATTTGTAGTTGCTGTGCGCTCTGAGGCACCTGCAGAGAGGAGGAGTTGGGGGAGGATTGGGGGATAGGTAGAGAGAATGATCATTAGGGTTGGGGTGTGTGAGGGCTGTCTCGGCTGGCAGAGGGTCACCCAGCCGCCACTGTGGGAGGAGGGTGGAGGGCTGGCCTGCAGGGTCACTGTACCTCAGCTCAGGGCCTCTTACCTCTGGATCTTTCATGGTGGCACATGGTGCAGGGCCCTCCTTGGGACCACCTGCTGCTGACTACAAGAGATGAGAGTGCACATGGAGATGTTCTGTCCCCTCAGTGTCCAAGCCTCTGAATTCCTTTCCTCCCCATCAGCTGGCAGCACTTCCTGTTCTGCCTCTCGGACCCTTTGTCCCAGAACTCCTCTGTGCCAGCTCCTCTCATGGTGCTTATCTCCCACCATCCCACCCTGGGGCCCTTTCAGTGACTCTTAAAGGGACAGCCTGACAGCAAATGGCTGTTCTCATTGGGCTGGCTTCCCCTTGAGACTGGGGATGAGGAAAACCAAACAGCAAGGACCCTTTCCTGGGTGTCCTGGGTGTTTACAGCGGGCCATGTACTAGGGATTAACAAAAATACAACAGCGATAACGAATCTCATTTCACCCTCACAAATGGAAGTCAGACAATACCGCCTCTATTTTACAGATGTGAAAGGAGAGGCCCAAAAAGCTCCAGCAACTTGCCCTAAGTCATATCCCTAGCAGATGGAGAGGCAGGATTCAAACCCAGAATTCCTAACCAGTACCCAGAAGTTCTTCCACAATCTTACCAATTACCCTCTACTGCCCCTTGGGCCCCTTTTCCCCAGAAGTGTGGCCAGCCAAGACTCACATGGCATGGTGACTGGCAACCATCAGAAGTGCCTGTCTCAGGGCTATTGTTGTTTCTTTTCTTTCTCCGTCTCACTCGTGTTGGAACAGCAGGGCTGTTTCTTTGTTGAAATTCTTTTAACTGTGAGAAATAGAGCAGTAATACCCATGAGAACGACAAACCCCTACAGTCATAAGCTACATTACAGTTTTTACAAAATACTGTTACACAACATCTGATTTAATGCCACCAACAAATCTATAAGGTGTTGTCACAATCACTAAGTGACCGAGAGAGACTGATATCATAGCAAAAACAAAAAGAAAAAAAGAAAAATAAGAAAAAGCAATACTAGACTTTAAACTAATTCCTCTGACTCCAAGCTCTGGGGTTTTGCCATGAATCAGCCACTGCCAGAGACCAAAACCACAGGCAGAGGTAGAAAAGTCAACATGAAGTAGACAGGAACTGTACGCTGTGTGGTTTAGAGTCATACAACCTCACATGTCTGTTAGTGTTAAGAAGAGCACCAGCACCTCTCACACTTTTATATCAATGTGTCCTCATGGCAGAAGGCAGCCTTTCTGTCAAATCTGGGAATTCATCAGAAAGAGGACAACCCAAGTCTCATTTCAGACAGAAGTCTGGTATACTCTTAGAAACTGATGTGACTGTCATCCCTAAGTACATTAATGTTTTTGCTCTCTCAAGAGACTCAAGGGAAACTGATGTTTCAGAAAGATGTCTCATGTTTATCCCTTGGCATTCACAGTAGCCTAAGTTGAGATGATATGAGGAAGATTCAAGCTGTTCAGTTTCAATTTCCCAAGATCTGTTCCACAGAAGATGAGCAGATCTCACTCCAGAGGCCACTGACTGAAGGGCAGTCTGGTCCCAGAACCATGGAGAATTTGAAGATGAGGTGGAGAACTCAGAAAGAAACGTGAAAGTCTCCCTGGAGAGTAGAAGCCTGAGAGAAAACCAAACCAAACCCATTCTCCCACTGCCACCCAGAGACACTGTCAATGTTTTGAGCTCATGGGGGAAGTGTAGGCTTTGTCTACACTTTTCAATGTCTATGTTAATATCAGTGTCTATGTTAAGGGAGTGGGGCAGCCTGAAACCTCTTGCTCCTAGGTCCCATAGTCCCTATTCCCCTTCCAGTTGGAAATTTGTGCAGGGACCAGAAGAGCCAGAAATGGGATGAGAATGCTTAGGAGACTGAGTCCTAAGATCGAAGGCCGGTCTTGTAGCAGTACTGATGGTTCCCAGGGAGATTGTGACATCACTACATTCCACTCCTCCTGGGGGAGGGGACCACATCAAGGAGATGCCTGAGTCACTGCTCCATGATCGGGGAGGGGGGTGAAGGGCTGGGACCCAGGTCCTTGGAGACGCCAGCCCAAAGAGCACAGGGAAGTCACACTGGGGGTGCAGAATGGGAGCGCAGAGTCTGCAGTAGGGAGCCCCAGGAGTCACCAGCCCAAAGTCACCCAGAAATGACTGGTGAGGGTGGGGGCTGGGAGACCCAGGTCCTTAGAGACATGAGCCCACAGGGCCCAGGGAGTTCAGACATGGGGCAGTAAAAGGTGAGGCCCAAGTAGGGAGCAGGGAGCCTGAGGGGTTACACATCCAAAGTCACCCTGGGGTGATTGGCAAGGGTAGGGGCTGGGCTCATTGCTGAAGGGGTGGGGCTGACTGAGAAGATGTTGGTAGGGGGAGCCCAGAGACACCGGGGTTGGGGACCCACCCAGTCTGGTGTGTCTCAGAAGTGTTATGGACTCTGGCAGCGGTCTTGCCATCAGAGGGGATCTGTGTGCACGTTACCTTTTTCCTAGCCGAGGTTAATTTCATCTTGCGAATTTCTTCTGACATCGCCATGGTGGGTGGGCGAGGTTGGTGGGGTTGGGGAGGGAGGGGGGGTTGGGGCCACATCAGCACAATTCAAGGGAGCACTGGTAAGCAGCTCCACTCTCCTACAAGGCAGCTGTGTTGACTGAGCCAGAGGAGGCGTAACCAGGGCACCACTAGAATTTAGAATAGGGGCGTGGCCTTCATGCTCCAATCCGATTGGTCAATGAAAAAGATGGAAAGGAGGCGTGGCCAGGCAGCAAGTCCAGAGAGACCTGTGGCATCCCAATAAAAGCTGCCCCCGCAACTCCTGTCCCCGCCCACTCTGAGAGGGAGGGGCCACCCGCTCCGGGAGAGGGGAGGGGCCGGCTTTTGCTTTTAAACTTTTAAATCTACCAGAGCATGCAGCCCAGTGTTTGGGGAGGTGACTGTATGGGGAGATTACAGTGTGGGAAACTATCCTGCCTAGGCCAAGGCCTCATGGAGCCCACGGTTCCCTAGGGCCAGGAGAGCACTGGAGCGCACCCTGACACCCATTGGAAACCTGAAATCCACAACTGCAGGAGATCAGGAAAGGGGGTTCAGCCTCCAATGCACCTGCAGCCAGGTGAAACAGGTAAAGCTGGGCACTAAGCAGATCTCCTTCCTGACCTTCCTCTCCTGCCTCCTCCAAGCAGAGGAGTAGTGACAGCTGTCCATCAGCCCATTGGCTAGATTGAGGTCACTGAATCTGGGTCCCAACAGGCTAGTGTAACCCCTGACTGTCCCAGGCACGGCCCAAGGCAGTCATGTCTCTGGTGAGAACCTGGTAGACAGATGTGATGTTCCCAATGGCTCTATAAACCTCTTGTTGAGAATAATCAAGGAAATGGGCAAGACCATCATGCTCAGCCAGGAACCTGTCAGGGCCAGACAGAAGTCAGTTTGGTTCCAGGCCTGGCCCTGGAAGGGTGGTGGACTGGGGGCAGCCACAGTGAAGGGGAATGGATGGCCATGGGCTGCGTGGCCAAGGCTGTCAGCTCCTGCAGCACCTGCAGAACGTCCACCCAGGCCTGGTTCTGCACTCACGCTTCTGCCTGGAGCCACAGGTGCCTGGACAGCGGCCTGAAGTATGGATCGTGGTAGGAAAAGCACTTGTGGCCACATGTGGGCACCTAAGCATGAGACAGAGGGGCATCATGCCCCAAAGAGATCATAGAGGCCAAGAACTCAAGCAGATGTAACCCCCTGGTCCTGGGTCACATCAATTAAGTCAGAGCCCGTCCTGACCCTGAAGCTGCAGCTCAGTCTAGTTGAGACTCACACAGAGATGTCAGTGCAGGGCAGGGGGTCCGGCCCAGCCTGCAATGTCCAGCAAAGCTGTGTGCTGGACAAGAATCTCTGAAGGTGAGTCCAGGTCAAGGACAGCTGTGCCTGGGCAGGGAGTGGGGGAAATGCCCAGGGGCAGGAGGCCTGAGGACCTTTAACTAGGTGGGATGCCAGGTCAGCACGTGCAGAAGCGAAGGTGACATGGCAGCAGCTGTCTGAGGCCAGGCTATAAACCTAGGGGCTGCCTTGTCTAGCCTAAACCATGCTGCTGCCCAGTCACCATCCTTCAAACGCCAGAGGCAGGGCTGGGAGGGCCCCCAGACCCCTCTTCCCTCCTGCCCCAAGCAGGTTCTTATGCCTCACCAGAAGTAAAGTGAAGCCTTCTACGAGTCACAGACTGCCAGGTTCTCTGTCACCTGGTGGAAGGGGTGGGGGAGCTGCAGCTGGGTGAGGAAGAACCCAGGTACCAGAGCTAGAAGGGCTTTGGGAAAGCCTTGAACAGGGCCAGGACCTGAGCTCTGCCTGGCTATGGTGACTGAGCCAGGTAACCCTATGATAGTCTCAGTCTGTCACTCTGTCTCACGGGGGATGTCAGCATTATTACCTTTGGAGTCAAAGTAGGTAAGCCAGGGAAACCAGCATTCCCAGTAGGGACCAAGACCAAAGGATGGAGGGGTCTGGCCTGTCCCAGAAGGTCAGGCTGGACGACGGGCTGTATGAAGACCAGGCAGCCGAGGCCTTTGCCCTTCAGGTTAAAGGCATCTGGGTCCTCGTCTACGTCCTCATATGACATCCAGAGACCCAACCCTAGGGACAATTCCCCCCAGCTGGTAGCAGTGAGTCAATCCTGGTACTCACTCCACCAAAAAGCTCTGAAATGTGGAGGCCTGCGGGTGAGGGTAAGACTCTTCAGGAAAACTTCCTCAATGACAAGGAAGGTTTGAGCTGTGCCTTAGGGAAGTCAGAGGGGTAGGTGACAGTCCCCCTCACAAAGCCTGCCAGGGAACACAGGAGGGACACACGTGTACTGGTGGGAATGTTCTGGAAGACAGCAGGCAGCCTCCCACTGACCGATGGGACCAAGTGAGATCAGGTGGTCCACACACCAGAAGCTGGTATCCACACACGGGTGCACTTTGTTTCTTGTTTTAGAGACAGGATCTTGCTCTGTTGCCGGGGCTGGAGTGCAGTGGTGCAATCATAGCTCACTGCAGCCTTGACCTCCTGGGTTCATGCTGTCCTCCCACCTTAGCCTCCTGAGTAGCTGGGACTACAGGCGCATGTCACCATGCCTAATTTTATTTTTTGTAGAGACAGGGTCTTGCTATGTTGTGCAGGCTAGTCTCAAGCGATCTTTCCACCTCAGCCTCCCAAAACACTGGGATACAGGGACAAACCAGCACTGCTGGTTCTGCTGCTGCATTTTGGCTGCCTTGGCGCACAGGAGACATGAGCTGGGGGGGCAGAATCTGTTCCTGGACCTTTCCCAGGCCTGCACCCAGACTGACCCCTGGGCTGCAGGAGACAGGTGTGGAGAGAATGCAGTGAGGAGAGCTGGCTAGCCAGTGATGGAGACCCAGGCTGGGACTAGGAGATGGGTCTCCAACCCTCAGCCTAGTGGCCCTGCCAACTCCTTGAAAGAAATAAATAAGTGACCTAGTCTCAGGTATTCTTCTAGAGCAATGCAAAACGGACTGATACAGCCTCCACGCTTGGTGTCCACTGGACCTGATCACTCGGGGAAGGGCTGCTCTTGACTCTGCCGTTAACATCCAGACTACGACAGAGTTGTTACCCTGCTCTGCCTCAGTTTACCTCTCTCAGCTGACAGAGTAGGGATAATTGCTTCTCATGTGGGCCACAGGACAAAACAAAGCCCTGAGTCCCACAAGAAGGTAGGTGGGCCGTGTCCAAGGGAAGACAGACCTGGGAAGTATTTTATGTCCTCTGGGTGGCAGAGGGACATGGAGAAGATGCCTCCTTTGTGGGCAAAAGAGAAGGGAAGATAAACAGAGAGGCGTTGGACACCTGCCTCACCCCGACCTCCCCCACCCCACACCAGGCCCATTCCCACATAGTCCCCCAACTCAGGAGGCACCGTTCTCCTTAGGGTCGGTGGGACTTCCCAACTGAGCTGGGGAAGCTGACAGTCTGATTCATCAGGGGCAGCATGTAGTGTAGGCGATGCGCTGGACGGAGGTGGAGAGGGGACACGGGAGCCATGGTGTCAGGTCTGGGGCTGCCAACGTGGTACCTGCCCTGGTCGTGGGCAGACCACGCTGCTCCACCCTGCCACATGTGGCCTCTAATTCCAAGGCATCCGAGTTCCAGGCCAGGACTGGAGCCACACTCCCCTTGGGGACAGGGGACACAGTCCACACAGACTTCACCTGTGCTTTGGGCAAAGGCAGCTGCACAAATGAACAGGAGGGGCCCTGCTGGAGAGTTGGAATGGGCCTGGATGACTCAGACCTGCCTCTGTAACAGGTCGGTCCCAGCCTCCAGTCAGACTCCTGAGAAGAAAGCTCACTCAGCCAGGGAGTGGGGGGGCATGGCCTGCAGGCTCCCTTGAGTCTGTAGCCCCTCCTGCCCAAGTAAGCTCCCGAAAAAAAGATGCAGAAACAGCTGGTCCCGGTGGCTCACGCCTTTAAACCAGCACTTTGGGAGGCTGAGGTGGGCAGATCATGAGTTCAGGAGTTCGAGACCGGGTTGACCAACATGGTGAAACCCCGTCTCAACTTAAAAATATAAAAATTAGCCAGGCCTGGTGGCATGCACCTGTAATCCCAGCTACTTGCGAGGCTGACGCAGAAGAATTGCTTGAACCTGGGGGGCAGACGTTGCAGTGAGCCGAGTGCCCTCCAGCCTGGGTGCCAGAGTGAGACTCTTGTCTCAATCATAATAAAAAAGATGCAGAAACAGCAGGTGCTCCTCCCAGCTGCCCGCTGCTTCTTGGTGTGGCCTCAGGGAACCCGGAAGAGTCAAGGTGGGGCTGACAGCAGCTGGAGGCGGGGGAAAGCTGTGTCCCCAGGTGGATGCCCAGCAGGGACATGCAGGTGTGGGGAGTGCTGGGTCCTCAGGGCTGAGCCCTTTCTGTCCAGGGGGCCTTGGTGAAATGCCTGCTGCTGAGCTCAGCCCAAGAAGTCAGAGCCTGGTGGCAAGTAGCCTCTCTGCTTGTGAAGACAGTCCTGGGGTCGTTACCCCACTGCCCAGGCTCAAGCATCCAGGCTGTGGAAGGGCCAGCATTCAGAAAGAAGGGAACTGTGTGTGTGGGTTCCCTGGCAGTCAGGAGCCTTGGTGGACAGAGCCCCCTATGAGGGTGCAAGCCCCCTTCTCACTCCACAGTAATGCTGTGAAAAGGAATTGTAGGGTTTTGGGGTGTGGACCCTCCCCACCCCACCCATGGGACACTCTGGGTTAATTAAGTGCTGACTTTGGTCTCGCCTCCCCCACGTGCTCCTTGGGGTCTGTTGGGTCCCCACGTCCAACCCCAGGAGTCCCTCTCTCCTGGGCCTCAGCCCATGCAATACTCTTTGCCCTGGAGACTTCTTGAGGCCCCCACCTGGGACCCAGCCAGTAGACAGGAGGCCACCTGGGGCCCTCGGGAGTCTTTGTGGGAGGGGTGGGGGCTCCATGGAGCCCACAGAGAACTCTTAGGGGTGTGGGAGTGATTTTATCTCCTGCCAGTAGGAGGTGGAGAGCCCAGGATACACTCCCCCCAGGGAGGCTGCTCCTCCATTCAAAACAGTTGCCAAAATGTAGGTGCCTCCTTCCCTGACCCGTACTGAGGCAACCAGGCTCTCAGACAGGGCACATGCCCAGGGAGCAGGCTCAGGTCATCCTGGAGAAGCAGCTCTGTTGATCCTCCCTGCCAAGCTCCAACCTCACTCAGCACACAGGCCAGGGTCCCAGAGAAAAGCCCACCACCCACCACCACCCCTGCCTTAGGCAGTGGGAAAGGAACAGTTCTGTGTCTCCGTTCCCGCTTTCACCTTTCAGGGGCGTCTGGATGGCCGATGGGAAAGACCAGGAAGAGCCCGATTCTGCCCAATTGTGGCAGGCATCTGAATGCTCCGGGAGGGCTGGATTGGGCCTCGCGGAGGGTTCTTCCGCCTCCCACCTTCCCTACCTGAGGCTCGGGGCTCCCCAGAAGCTACAACCCAACCTGGGGCAGCCCAAAGTCTCCAGTGGAGGGGAAGGTGAACGGATCGGTCTCTATCCCCTTTCCCCTACCCGCCCTGAGCATGACTCTGGTGCCTGAGGCCCACAGCTGAGTTCACTTTGAGACTGCACCCGACCTGGCGGGCTTCCGGGTGTCCCCAAGCCCCTCCCGGCGGGCTGAGACGCACGTGCATCCAGCAGGCTGACACACAGGCCGCCGCCAAGCATGCAAACCCGTGCCTGCAGGTCCGTGCATGGCCCACATCTGCACACATGCCATTCCAGAACCGCGCTCTCCCTTGCTAGGCCCCGGCACACGTGTTCACGCAGGAAAGCCCACGCACCCAGCCGGCCCCACACCTACGCCCGCAGACCGGCGGGAGGTCCGGGAGCAGGGGCGGCCTGGCCGAGGGGTCCGGGCAGCGTCTGCCTCAGGGCGATCCCGCCAGCCTGGGCTGAGGCCGGAGGGTGAGTCAAGACCTCGGCCTTTCCAAGTGCTGGGACAGCCCTGAGCCGTTGTGCCTCCCGTTTCTTTTTTTTTGAATTTGCTCTGTGACCCAGGCTGGAGTGCAATGCTGTGGTCACGCCTGGCTGCAGCGTGAACCTCCTGGGCACAAGCGAGCCTCCCACCTCAGCCTGTAAGCCTGAGCCATTGTGCCCATCCCTTTTTTCTTCCTTTCCTTTTTTTACCCTTTGAGGTAAGGTCTTTCTGTGACCCAGGCTGGAGTGCAGCCGCTTGACCACTGCTCGCTGCAGCCTAACCTTCCTTGGCAGAAATGATCCTCCTACCTCAGCCTCTTGAATACCTTAGACCACAGGTGCACACCACCACGCCTGGCTAATTTTTTTTTTAATACAGTTGGGGTTTGGCCGTGTTGCCCAGCCTGGTCTCAAATTCCTGATCTCAAGTCATGTGCTCACCTCGGCTTCCCAAAGTGCTGACAGGCGTGAGCCCTTTTTTCTTATTTATTTATTTATTGAGATCAGGTCTCTCTCTGTTGCTTAGGCTGGAGTGCAGTGTCATGATCCCGGCTTGTTACAGCCTCAACCTCTTTGGCTAAACAATCCTCCCACCTCAGTCTCTTGAACAGCTGGGACCACAGCTGCACCCCACCACGCCTGGCTATTTGTATTTTTGGTAGACATGGGGTTTTGTCATGTTGACCAGTCTGGTCTTGAACTCCTGAAATGAGGTGATCTGGCCACCTCAACCTTCAAAAGTGCTGTGTTACAGGCGTAAGCCACTGTGTGCAGCCCTTTCTTCTTTTTTGTGTTTTTACTGAGATTAGGTCTTGTTCTGTTACCCAGGCGGGAGTTCAGTGACATGATCATGTCTCTCTGCAGCCTCAGTCTCCTGGGCTCAAGTGATCCTTTCACTTCAGCCTCTTGAATAGCTGGGACCACAGGTGCACACCACCACACCTGGCTAAATTTTTATCTATTTCATAGAGATGTGGCTTTGCCATATTCCCCTGTCTGGTCTCGAACTCCCTTACTCAAGTGATCTGCCCGTTTCGGCCTCCCAAACTGCTGGGTTACAGGTGTGAGCCACTGTGCCCAGCCCTATATTCTTTCTTCCCTCCCTGCCTTCCTTCCTTCTTCTTTCTTTACGTTCGGACTCACTCTGTTACCCAGGCTGGTGTGCAGTGGTGTGGGAACAGCTTGAAACAATCCTCCCAACTCAGCCTCTTGTGCAGCTAGTCTCTCCTTTCCTGGGGTAAGTGAAGTGAGGGGCTTAGTTCTGATGCGTGTTGTGGAGGCCCGGTAGTATTTGATTTGTGAGTAGGTGACAGACAGTTAATTTACTGGAGATAGGTCAGTTGACTCAAGTGTTAGTGTCAAAAGAGTCCGGAGAAGTCTTCTAGTCCAACTCTAGAGGTGAGAAGATAGTGAGGGCAGTAAGTGTTTATTGACTAATGTCCAAGACTGGTGGCCTCCTGATTTCTGACCAGTGCTGGATGTTTATCGAGAAAAATCTCTCCCAGAGTTATAGAGTCTTTTTTTTTTTTTAGATGGACAGTCGCTCTTGTTGCCTGGGCTGGAGTGCAATGGTGCGATCTCGGTTCACTGCCACCTCTGCCTCCTGGGTTCAAGCAATTCTTCTGCCTCAGCCTGTTGAGTAGCTGGGATTACAGGCATGCACCACCATGCCCAACTAATTTTCTATTTTTAGTAGAGGCAGGGTTTCTCCAAGTTGGTTAGGCTGGTCTCAAACTTGTGACCTCAGGTGCTCCGCCTGCCTCGGCCTCCCAAAGTGCTGGGATTACAAGACTGAGCCACCACGCTTGGCCTTTTCTCTCCCAGAGTTCTGGAATCTTTTCTGTATTTGACAACCTAAGAATTATGAGAACGTGAAAGCAATATTTTTGATGAAAGAATGGCTTATTTTGCCTGGTTTCAGTACAGCTCTCTTATCACCACTTTAACTGATCTGAGAGTATTTTATTAGAAAAAGGGGAAACCAGATGCTCAGAAGCAGTGCTTCTTAGGCAGGAAAGAATTTGTCCCTGGCAGCAGGTTTCTGATCTGAAACCAGATGGTGGTGGTCACACCTCAGGATGACTGTATCATGCCTCTGATTGCTTGTCGCTTTTTGGTTTGATTCTTCAGGAAATTCCCTGAGTTGTTTAATTGGTTTAAAAACTTTCTGGGCTATAAGGAGTCTGTACATCTGGAAACTTTTCCAAAGGAGCGAGCCACAGAGGGCATTGCCATGGGGATAGATTACGCCTCTTGTAAACGATTGGGCTCCAGCTATCGAGCCCTACCAAAGAGTTACCAGCAGCCCAAGTGTACCGGACGGTCTCCTCTCTGTAAAGAGGTAAGGCCTTCCCTAGCAGGGATCATCCCTGGGTCCTTAGCTCCGGAAGGGAGTGGTAGTACTAAGGATTGAGGCACAGAAACACTAATGGGTGCCCAAGCGAATCCACCAAGTTCCAGACATCTTCGTTATAGGCATCAGCCACCACGCCGGCCCCTGTTAAGTCTTTAAAAGGTTATTCAGATACTTCCTCTGACCAGAGCATTATTCTCAAGGGTAGTATTTTTTTTATTTTTTATTTTGCCTCAAGAATTCAAAGCAGCTCACCAAGTGCTGTCCCTGCTGTGCCTCTCTCTTAGTGGTAGGAAAGGCAAAAGATTCCTTTGACTAGGATGTCTCAATGTACTCCTAGATCTTCGGGCCTCTAAAATATTCCGAACATGGCAGGCTTCCAGAACTTTGTAGGGCTTAGCTCTCATCCTTCAGCATGAAGTATTTCAAAGCAGCATACTTGCTCCTTCCTCAAAATCAAGTCTAATTATTATTCTGTCATTAATATAATGGATGATGTTCTATAGAATGTCAAGATGATCAAGGTCACTGCAGACTATACTGTAACAGAAATGAGGAGCATTTAACAAATTCTTGGGATCAGGTGGTAAATGATAAAGAGAATGCATTCAACCAAAACAATAGTCTTTGGCACTCAGTGTGAGACTATTGCCAAAACAGCTTGCATTCACAAAAGAAAGAAGTGCACATTCACTATCAGTATGGAGCATTTTGCTAAAGCAACCAGCTTACTGACTTCATGTGGCTTTGGTTTCTTTCAGCATGGTGGCCTCCGCGTTGGTTATCTTCTTACACGGTAGCTCAATCCCACAGAGGCAACTATCCCCAGAAACAAGGCAGAAGCTGCATCACCTTGGTCTCGGCTGTGAGGATCACAGAGCATCCCTTCTGGGCGTTACTGGTCAAAGCAAGTAAAGTCTAGCTCAGATTCACAGGGATTGAAATTAGATTTCAGCTGAGCGTAGTGGCTCACACCTGTAATCCCAGCACTTTGAGAGGCCAGGGTGGATCACTTGAGGTCACGAGTTTGAAACCAGCCTGACCAACATAGTGAACCCCCATCTCTTCTAAAAATACAAAAAGTTAGCTAGGCATGGTAGCAGCCACCTGCAATCCCAGCTATTTGGGAGGCCGAGATTAAAGAATCGCTTGAGCCTGGGAGGCAGAAGTTGCAGTCAGCCGAGATCGTACCACTGCACTCCAGCCTGGGCAACAGAGTGAAGCTTGGTCTCAATTGAAAAAAAAAAAAAATTAGATTTCATTTCTTGGTAGAGGAATGACAAGTTTGCATTGTACAAGAGCAACTGGGATGAGAGATATTGATATTGTTGCAGGCTTCTTTAGAAAATACAATCTGTCCCATCTCTCACAGCAAAAACTGTGCTGTCCTGCTCAGGCCATGCTGAGACTTGTTCCTAGTTTTTGGAATAGAGGCAATGAGGACAGGCAGGAGTAGACCCTGGAGTAATCTTGGGGGTGGTCTGCTCAGAGGAGGACTGGGTAGTCTCTAGGAAATGGGAAGCTGTTCTCTTCAACTAATGGGGTGCAGGATACTTCTGCTGCCTGGTGGGTTCAGGGAATCTAGGGGTTCAAGGGTCTCAAGCATGTCTACCCAAATGCCTGCCTGCATCCCAGTAGTTCTAGGGACCATTTCCTTCCTCTAGGGCTATGACTTTTACATCAGAGGCCTGCCTGGACTGTGCCTTCAGTCTGCTTCGTAGTTCTGTTACTCTTGCAATGAAACCCTGAGTGTCATTTTTTTAGAACAGTCTGTTCTCTGCTTGCAGGAAATGGAGATTTTTTTTAGACGGAGTGTGGCTCTCTGTCGCCCAGGCTAGAGTGCAGTGGCATGATCTCAGCTCACTACCTCTGACTCCTATGTTCAAGGGATTCTCCCGCCTCAGCCTCCCAAATAGTTGGGATTATAGGCATGTGCCACTATGCCTGGCTAATTTTTGTATTTTTAGTAGAGACAGGGTTTCACCACGTTGGCCAGGCTGGTTTTGAACTCCTGACCTCAAGTGATCCACCTGCCTCAGCCCCCCGAAGTGCTGGGATTACAGGCAAGAGCCACTACGCCTGGCTAAGGAAATGGAGATCACTCTTTAGTTCCTTCCAAAAAGGCCTCTGGCTTTCACTACTATGCTCTGAATCGACAGTTGGATGACGTAAACCTCTTTCTTCTTTCCCAATTCTTCTAAGGCAATTAACAAGAACAAGACAGCTCTTCAATTCCTGTGATTATCACAACCCATATCCTTCAGGAGAATTAGCACGACTGCAGAAGGTACGCTTCTCTTTTCGCCTTTACCTCATCCAAGTACACCCTGGGTCAAGTGTAGGCAACGGGAATTCTTCAAAGTGCCAGGGTTTGTCACCACCTTACTCACCACCACCAGTGGGGTTTTTGCTGCCTCCATACCACTGAGAATATACTTTCCGTAGTCACTTCCAGTACCTGTTATCTCCATTTGAGTTCCTCTAAAATCAGACCTTGTGACAAGCTTTGAATACAGGAGTTTATCTTGGAGAGGATCCCAGCTAGAGCAAGTGAGTTAGTGTGGAGTGAGAGAGGTGAAATAGAAAATTGAATTGATGCATGGGTTATCACTGTGGGCAATCGGGGCTCAGTCCCATTTGGGACCTCTCAGGAACCACACAAAATGCCCTATAATAGTCCCAGCAAGGTACGGGATGGTTGGATATTAATCCACCGACCCTCATTCTTCATGGGTTGAGGGGTGCTCAGTGCTCAGCAATTCTAGGATACCTTGTGAGGGTGGGGCAAGCTCTTGTACTGGAGGAAATCCTCAGTCAGAGAAGCAGAATGAGGCAGGTGCTTGAATGGGGAAGCCATCAGCATGCTTAGGATTCCTAAGTTCACTGCAGCTGCAGGTCAACTCAGTCAAGGGGACATGGGGAAGAGCATCAAGACAGTCTGCTACCTGATCTTCAGTAATTCATATGAAAAAATCAGGAGGCAGTCCCTGTTACACATTGTGGACTGAATACATGTGTTTATCACAACTCCATCCTGAAGCCTCTCTGAAATGACTGAAAAGGAATAAAAATAATCTTTTTTTCTATTTTGAAACAGAGTCTCGCTTCATCATCCAGGCTGGAGTACAGCAGTGCGATCTTGGCTCACTGCAACCTCCGCCTCCTGGGTTTAAGGGATTCTCCTGCCTCAGCCTCCTCAGTAGCTGGGATCACAGGCGTGTGCCACCATGCCCGCCTAATTTTTGTATTTTTAGTAGAGATGGGTTTTATCATGTTGGCCAGGCTGGTCTTGAACTCCTGACATCAGGGGATCTACCTGCCTCAGCCTCCCAAAGAGAGCCACCATCCCCAGACCGAATAAAAACAATCTTATGAAACCTGGAAGGATACAGAGAATGGAACAGGCAACAGCAGACAAGAGGTAGCAACAACATGTTGGAAGACGGAAGGCAGATGGGTGAGCAGTAACAAAGTTAGCAGAGCAGCAAGAAAGTTTGCTTTGCTGTGAAAAATATCAGAAAGCAAAAGCAACATAGGGTGTTTGCAGCAGAGGCTGTTCCTACCATACTGATGTCACCTGGGATCCCTCTGCGTTCTCTGTGTAGACCAGCTGAATTCCAGCGTGCATTCTTTCACAAAACCAGCATGCTGTTGGAAGATACAAGAGAGCTAGAAGTGCCTGGGGATTTATGTCCCTTCCCTCCTGTCACAGCCCTTAGCCAATGATTGATGAGGGTGGGGACAGACATACTCCAGCTCTTTTGCCCTCTTACTGAAATGACTCTGAGGTGTGACATGCGATGTTCCCCAAGCCCTCTGCAGGAATGAATCGAAATTGCCTACCATGGGACTTGGCTCGGTTGTACCCTTACATGGCCTCTTCCTACTCCTGCTTCCTCACTTCTCTTTTCCTGGGAATATTTCCTAATAAGTCACTTTCATGTGCATTTTCCTCTAGTGCAGCACTGCTTTACGATACTTTGTTTCAGTGATGTAGGGGTGTGTGTGCGCGCGCACACGCATGTGTCTGCGTGTCTGTGTGTGCACGTGCATGCACTGGGTTATCATTTAACATAAATTTCTTATCATGAAGCCAGTTTGAAAGCCACTGTTCTATACCACATTACCTGCCGATTTGTGTTTAGTTCACTGGGCTGAAAATTTTCCTTGATGTCCCAAAATAAGAACCGTAGATCAGATTCCAAATCTTACTGTTTGTTTGAGCAGAGTGACTTAAAATACATTAAATAAGAATGTAGGTTGGGTGTAGTGGCTCACACCTGTAATCCCAGCACTTTGAAAGACTGAGGCAGGTGGATCACTTGAGGTCAGGAGTTTGAGAACAGGCTGGCCAATATGGTGAAATCCTGCCTCTACTAAAAAATATATATATATACAAAACAATTAGCCAGGTATGGTGGCATGCACCTGTAGTCCCAGCTACTCAGGAGGCTGAGGTAGGAGGAACGCTTGAACCTGGGAGGCGGAGGTAGCAGTGAGCTGAGATTGCACCACTACACTCCAGCCTGGGTGACACAGTGAGGCTTTGTCTCAAAACAAACAAACAAACAAAAGTATTAGTTATGACTCTCAAGAATGAGTCAACTTTGACACCATTGGCTGGTCTGGTCTTTGACCTTTGGGCAGCCAACCCTGCTAAATAGTTTTCAAAGTCCAGGCATCCCTTTAAGGTTGATACATGTGGCATAAAGGTTGTGAGAGTTGATTGTAAATTTTTTGCACAGTAGCAGAAAGAAGACCAAGTTTGCTTTGTAGCAGAGCCAGAAGGTGTGCCTGAGCACAGGGCGGGACAGTCAGCCCAGGACTCTGGCCCTTGGCTTGGCTTGGATGGAGACAGGTGAGGTGTACAGAATTGCCCTGCATTCACCCCCAAAGACAAGGTAGTTAAGAGAAGGGAAGAGAACACACCGCATACTCACTAACAACCAGTGAGACCTCGCAAAGAGGTCACACAGATTCTGTCTGTCAGATTTGTGGGGATCCCAGGGCGGGCCTGACTGCCAGAATCCACTGGAGGCCATGAGTGGAGGGCTGAGAACATCATAAGTGCAGTGGAGATGAAATCTGGAAGGAAGTGCAAAGGAAAGGGCAGGAGACTCACCTTCCCAGGAAGCCGTGGGATCCCTGCCATTATGTGTGTCCATTGATAATCCTTATTTTGTCAGGGCATGATGTAATATTGTCTACATGTTTAGAAAAGAGCAAAAATATGTTGAAAAATCTGATGGAA